TAAGTGGTGACACGATTCAGACCTGGCTTTGCCATTAGCAATTAAGTGACCCTACATGAATCCTGTTCATTTTCTACACCAGAGTTAATTTATCTGCGCAATAAATGTGAAATAGATCATCTGCAGGGGATTTAATAGCTTTAATGTTTTTGGATCTAAAAACATTATGATCTAAAAACAGAATGGGCTAACATGGATCTAGTATTTGTGGTCCTTCTCATTTTGTTTCAGTGTAGCTCTCTCAGGATTGATTGATAAGGAGACATACAGCAGAGGGTCTTCATACTTGATGTCAAACTATGGATTTAACTGGATAATGAGTATGAAGAGGCTTAGTTTGACAAGATTTTTTCCTCTTAACTGATACATAGCAGAGATCAAGAACTGAGAAGTATGAATAAGGGGTAACTTTGGAGTATGGCATATTTGGTGGTAGTTTTAGGAGGGAAAAGACAAACAGGGTTATTATGAAAGTTAATGTGAAAGTTTGAGCACACCAGGTATATTAGACATAGGGTAAGAGGAGGCTCAGTAAATAAGAATGCAAGGGAGATATGACAATACCAAATACAAGTTTCTTTCACTTATTTGGCTATAATGAATCCTCTCTTCAGGATCTTACATCGGGCTTTCTTCATGATTTCTACTTCTTTCATTCTGTTTCTCTGTCTCCCTCTGTCTCTCTCTCTTCCCTTTCTCTCCAGTCTTCCCTCCCACTCTCTTTCTTTACTTTTTTTCTCCCTCCTTTACTCCCTCCCTCTTTTTTCCCTTCCTTCTCTCTCTCTCTTTCACTTCCTCCTATTTCATTCTTCTTTATCTTTCTTGTATTGTAACTTTTCTCATTTCTGTTCTTTTTCTTTTCTTTCTCTTTTTGCTTATCTTTCTTTCTGCTACTCCACTTCCTTTACTCACAATCTTTTGTTTTTTTTGTTTTTGTTTTTTTTTTTTGTTTGTTTTTTTTCTGAAAACCAGGCTCCTCTGAGTCTTTTAGCTAGTAATACTGTAGTTCTTTTCTACACTGGCCTTTGCCAGCCACACCTTCTAGCTTTTATCTGTCATTCTTCAATATACCAGAGAAACCTGCCATCCAGTCTGACCACATCAACCATAGTTATCTTCTTTTATTTTAATCTCTCTTCTCCAGTGCGCATCGATGTTGGTAATCTGGGCATCGATGCTGGTAAACTCTTTGGACAGAGTCACAGCCCTATAGCCCCATTTCCTCCAACCCACTGTCACCCGCCCACCTCTTGAACCTCTAAGTATAGAACAGACTTTCATTTAGTATTGCCTTGTAATTATTTTGTGGGCTACCAAGCCAACCACAGAAAGGCAGGCCTGCATTTGTTCAGCAGAGATGAACTATATTCCAATGAAAATAACTCATTAGTCAAGGGAATTTTTAAAAGGGAACAGGGTAAAGTTGTCCTAAAAATAATGTCATTTTCTCATAAACTAGTTATTTTCTCTTAACTCCATTAGGTGATCTCCAAGGTCCTTCAATTGTCATTCTGTGATAATTTAGTTATTGGCTGTGAGTTCATAATTTACTTTTTGTATAAATATCCCAAACAGGGATTTTCCAAGTTTCTTCCATGCAACTCATTTACTGGTTCAGCCCCAAGCAGAAAATTACTGTCACTAGGCAGCAGTCCCTCTATGGGCCCTCTGCTTTGAAACTGCCCTAGGTGCTTCTGAGACATGCAGGTCACCTGTATGGGGGTGCTCACTGGTGATCATTGTTAAACTATTTGTGAAGAATACCCAGAAGAAGGCAGAGATGCTGCATTACCTGTGAAAAAGAACAGAATAATTAGGCTCTGGACTATTTAATAGAGAAGGTATCTTCTGTCCATTGAGCTAATTCTCCTAGAGGCAAACTGTGGAGAAAATTTTTCTTGTCATGGAGTTTTACTAGGCCAATCCCATCAGAGAATTAGACAGGAAGAACTGAGAAGGCCTCACTTTGGACTAGATATGCCAACTTATCTTTGTAACCCCCATTGTCTTTCTGTAAAAATAGTTTTGTCATCTCTCTGAGGAGAGTGAGGGATTCAGACCAGGTACTTAATTGATGGCAGACTATAATTTTTTTTTGTCCCAGTACAGCCCACAGTAGTCCTTAACTATAAATTCTTTGAAGACCACCTAAATATCACTTGCTCTGCCAATGCCCGACCAGCCCCTGTGATCTCCTGGAAGGTCTCTGGGTCAGGAATGGACAACAGTACTGAGATTTTCTCACACCCCAATGGCACCACATCTGTCACCAGTGTCCTCCAGGTCAAGGACCCCAAGAGTCAAGTGGGGAAGGAGGTGATATGCCAGGTGCTGCACCTGGGGACTGTGACCAGCTTCAGGCAAACTGTGAACAAAGGTAAGAGAAGATGGGCCTTAGCAAAGGAACTAATAGAGGAGAGAATGGAGTAAGTAGGGAAATAAAAGCAGTTGAAGAAGCCAATAAAGCTTACCAATATTACTTTGGTAATGTAGTATAGTGCCCACATACCAAATACTTCTGCTGAGATCCATCCATTCATTTCTTCTTCCATGCTACTAACATTTAATGAATGTCTGTTGTGTGCCAGGCTTTGCGACAATGAAATGTGACAATGAGCAAGACTCAGTCCCTGCACTCAGAGAACATCCAGTCTATTAGGAAATATAGAAGTGGCTGGGCAATTGTAAAACTGTATGTTAAATGCTTCAATAAGAAAGCTATGGTGCACCATGGGAGGCTTGCAGGTGGGAAGGAGAAGCATCAGCTTGATATGGGAAGATTAGGAAGATTTCCTGGAAGAAGTGGCATCTCTAATGAATCATTTGCATAATCTACACTGTGAGAAAAGGAGAATAGTGCTTTTAGGAAAGGGGCCGATCTAAGTGTTAGCCTCTCTGCTTTTAAAACAAACTATCTCCTGTTCAAGACCCCTTTTGCTCTCTTGTGTTTCCATCTAAGCTGCTGTCTCTGGGCCTCATGATATAGAAGATAAGCGTTATGGGAGAGAAAATAAAGAGAGCAGTGATAACAACCAGTTTTCTTTCTCTCTGTAGTTTTGAAGCACTAACTCTGGATGAGACACTCAGTAATAAGCCTTCTAAAAAGATATTGCTGCTTTTTTCAGGATGAGAGGCGGCATTTTGAACAATAAAACCTGGAAAAACTTTCTCATGCATGCCTCATTAGTGTAGTGTCCTCTAAGGAACATCTCCTGTAGTCATTTCTGAGTCTTTGAAAAAAACTTAACCAAAAAGTTGCCATTTAAGTAGATTTTGTCAAAAGGCTTGGAGTGTTAGATTTGAACATTTGTGTAATGAACCTCAGATTCAGCCAAGGCGAAGGGTAAATTTCCCTGAAAAACAAGAACCTAAAAAAGAACATGTCTTTCTTTTCCAAAAATACCAAAGTTGACTTGTATTATTTATAATGATTTTTTCCCTTTATATTTCTCTATTGTCTAAAACTTCCTCAATAAACATATTACTTTAATGGACAGTATAGCAAAGAATGTGTGCTTTGGAGGCAAACAGAACTTTGAACAAGCTTTGGTTTTATTCATTACAATGCCGATTTTGGGTTTACTTAACTTCTCTGAGCTTCAGTTTTTGTTTTTTAAATCTGTTAGATAATAATAATATCTAACTCGAGTTGTTTTGAGATTAAATGTAATAACATATTCAAGCTCTTATTACATAGTAACCACATAAAATATGTTAGCTATTATTATTATCTAATTGTTATTAAAATAATATGATGTCATGAATACAGACCTCAATATGTGTGTGTGTATATATATATGAATAATTTTCATTGAAAGCTAAACTCTAGTAAAAACGCATCACAACTATTGCGTCATTGTTTTTTCCTCCACAGCTTCCTTTTGTGACTTTGTTTTTCCTCTTTCTCCCTTCAATATCTACAGGTTTTTGGTTTTCAGTTCCACTTTTGTTAAGTATTGTTTCCCTGATAATTCTTCTGATCTTAATCTCAATCTTACTATACTGGAAACGTCGTAGGACCCAAGACCGAGGTGAGTCATTACAGGTAGTAATGACAAACAAAGAAGGAAACAAATGATTTTTTAAGATCTTTATGAGTCACATAAAGATGTAAATGAAGGAATGGCAACAGTGCGTTGATGGTATTTTAACACTTTAGCATCATTTTCTTGCAACTGGAGATTAAATTGGGCATTTCTACTTTTCATTTGCTGAGATTATTTAAAGGCTAATGATTTTGTAAACTGAGAGTAAGGGTTGATGAGAGGAAATGTGGAAAATGTTTATTTGATGACTATGGAATCATCTGATGGCAAAACCAAAAAAAAAGGTTTTGGCAGCCATGCTGTTTTCTTTCTGTTAATGAGAGGGACAGTCTTTACTCTTTTGACAGCATTCCATAGATTGACTATTCCATTTAAAGGACTGTGAAGTTGTTCGATATAATCAATAATTAAGTAATACACCCATCCCTCGATTAACGTGGTAGTTTTTTTATACATGGTAAATATAACTCCCCCTCAACCATTTACGTGGACTTTTTATATGCGGTTTCCATTTACACAGTCTCATTTTACATGGTTCTTTTTCATTTCCATTATTGGTGACTACTCTTTCTAAAAAATAATAGCTTAACTTAGCAACATACAAAGAACTAATACTTACCAACGCACAATTATTAATGACCTTCTTGTTCATTGGATGGCAAAATAAAAAAGCATAGGTGACTACTGATGTTTTTCAGAATTGGTTTTACAAATGTTTTGCTCTAGAAGCTGAAAATTATATGAAGGAAAAATGTCTTCCTTTTAAAATACTTTTACTTTTAGATAATGCATCTGGTCATCCACACAATTTAGAACATCGAAATATAAAAATCATATATTTGCCACCAAATACAACTTCCTCGATCCAATCTTTGGATCAAGGCATTATTTCCATCTTCAAGATTAATTATATTTAAAGGAGTTTTAGTGATATTTTTAATAAACTTAAAGATAATGAATCATTTATAGAAGCCTGAAATAAACACACAATTTGAAGTTGTATCAAGAATCTTGCTTTACCTTTGGATAATATAGAGCCATCAACTTTAAATACTTGCTGGAGAGTAGTATAGCCAGAAGTGGTTATACTGAGGAATATGGTTCCAACAACTGAAGAGGGATTAACTGGCATTATTAATTTATTAAATAAATTTCAAGAAGAAAGCTCTGACAATTTAAATGTAGATGATATTAATGAATTACTGGTTGATCACGAATTAGCTAATAATGAATTAATTCATTTAATATCTGAAGCCAATCCTGATGATGAATATGGCAGCAACCTTGAACCAGTTTCATTCACTGCAGAAAATATTAACAAAGCTCTTCAATTGGCTACAAAACTGGAAACTGAAATTCTAAGTATAGATCCAAACATCCAACGAGCCTTAAAATTTTGAAAAGATTTTTAAAAACGTGCAGTGAATATTTGAAGAATTTATGAAAACTTAGCAAAAGATAGGGTTGGAAAGAGATCACTTAAAAACATAGATATAAATAATGAAAACAAAGTAGTACTTTCAAATATTTTGAGCAATGATGACAGTGACTTTGTGTCAATTAAAAAAAGAAAGTTGACTGCTTTAGTTTACAGTACAGACACTAACAGTGAATAAAATTTATTTTGGTTTTTCTGAATTTCCATTAACTTTTTTTATTGGAAATATGTGAAATAAATGTTTTTATGACTTATATCAGCTTATTTCTTTAGTATTTTTTTGTACTAGTGGACTCTTCACACGATTTTCTTCCACGTAAAAAAAGACACGTGGAATGGATAATCCACATAAATCGAAGGACAGGTGTACTTTTTATGTTTTACTCTCACTATCTCTCAAACACTATAAGCAACATACAGAAGACCCATACTTATAATAAATGTGTGATGTCATTTTGCCCTTATAGACTATAAATTTCTCTCTACCCTCTCCAATGTCTGTCATAGTGTCTTAGTATACCAGATGCTCAATAAACATTCGTTAAAATAGTGAATGAATGAATAAATGAATGCAAAGGTAGATTTTCAGAGTGATTTTTTTCAATTCCATTTTTCTTACTGTAAGTTCAATACCTCATTAATTCTGAGTCTAAAACATTGTGAGACATCATAAAACGAGACGCTATAGAACAAGAGGAGTCAGTTGGAGAGAGAGAATTAAATTTCTTTGGTTTCTGAAGACAGGAATAATTTATTAAAGCTAATGCAAGGCGGCTACTTATGTTGTATGTGATGGGAATTTCCTAGGGTCAAGGAATGTTATGGGGGTTTTCTTCATCTCAAATGACTGAAAGATAGGGAAGGGGAAAAATGTTGGCTTTGAGTGTTATTTTAAAGTGAAAAATCTCACTCAAATGCAACCTTTTTTTTTTCATTTTATGCCTCATAGACTATCTTTTATGTTTTAGATTTTTTGAATATTTAATTTTGTATAAGCCTTATATAAATACCAAATTCATTCTTGTGATTTCATTTTAAAAAAAAAATAGCAACAAATCTTCAGTGCCAGTTACTCCTTCCTTTGTAAAATTAGATAAAATTATTTGTTTTGTTAGGAAGAAGAGATGGCAAATTAGCTGATCTTAGTGCATATAAATAGAAGCCCAGAGACCTCATTAGTACTTCGCAGAATATTAAAAGCAGAAGGCTGATTCTACTTTATCCAAACATTTCGCTTTGCCATTTAGGAACTGAAGCCCAGAGAGGAAAGCTGACTTTTTTCCCTAAGGTAACATCAGACTTAAGACTATAACTCTGGTCTCCTGACATCTTCCAGAATGTTCTTCTGGTCATGAGATCCTGGACTCTTGATTTGAAAGGCACTGTTGTTATCATTTCCCCTTATTTTAGTCTGTTCTTGCTGCTGTTTTCTTTTGTGAAGTTTAAACAGAAAGTATAAGGTGTTCAAATTCATTTTTAAAAGTCCCTTTTGGACAAGAATTATAATATAGTCTATTCAAGCCTGAGATAAATTCTACTAGAAAGAGGGCATTAAAAGAATTGTCCTTTGTTCATTAAATAAGTCTTGGATTTTCTGGAAATATAACTGTCCAGTGCCTTATCTAGTTCCCAAAACAAAGAGTCAGCTTATCTCTGTACCTGGACTTTTTCTCATTTATGAAATACAGTAGACTCTTCCCCACACTTATCTGAGGGGTATACCTTCCAAGACCCTCAGTGGATGCCTGAAACTGCACATGGTGCCAAACTCTATGTAAAATATGTTTTTTTGCCTATACATACATACCTATGATAAAGTTTACTTTATAAATTTGGCACAATAGGAGATTAGCAACAACAATAATAAAGCAGAACAATGATACCAATATACTATAATAAAGTTATATGCTGTGACATCATTAAGTAAAATAAGGGTTACTTTAACACAAGCGCTGCCAATACTGCTGCAATAGCTCTGATAACCTACATGGCTACTAAGTGACTAATGGGCGGGGAGCATATTACAGAATGGATATGCTGGGCAAAGGGATGATTCACATCCAGTTGTAGGAAGGAGTAGGACGGTGCAAGATTTCAACATGCTACTCAGAACAGTGCAAAATTTCAAACATTTAAATTATTTATTTCTGCAATTTCCAATATTTCAGACCACAATTAACTGCAGGTAACTAAAACGGTGGAAAGCGAAAGCACAATTAAGAGGGGACTGTAAACAACCGAACCTGTATGAAATCTTGTAAGCACTAGGATTGCCATTTACTGATGATGTCTTTATGACATAAAGCCACTTCAGTTAGCAACACTGAATGTTCAGTGGCATATTTTGAGTGACTGGATTTTTTTGTCTGGTTTCAAAAATTATAACAGCCAGATCATTTGATCCCTTATACTTAAATAGCTACGAAAACTAAATGTAGATTATGCTGGAGACTTAAATGCTCAAAGATGAGGAAATACTGGTTTAAAACCAAAATTTAAGTTGTACAAAGTTGGAAAAAAGGGAAGAAAATCACAGAAGATAGAGACATTTTTTATTTCTTCAAATAACAAATTCTGATTGTCAATTTGTGATGAGAGTAAATAGTCCTACTACTTTTGCTTTCCATCTTTCCTTATTTTACTTTTGGTTATTCTTTTTTCCTCTTTTTCTTCCCATCATCTGAAAACATAAAACTTTTGGTTGGCCAGGGAAAACATCACTAAAACTTTTGACCTTGTGACTTGAAACATGGTGATGTAAATAGAAATAGGAAGGTAAAGAGGGGGAACTGAGAGAGAGAGAGAGAGAGAGAGAGAGAAAGAGAGAGAGAGAGAGAGAGAGAGAGTGTGTGTGTGTGTGTGTGTGTGTGTGTTTGTATGCAATGTGGGAAGAAAAAGAGGAAGGGTAAATTAGTTCTTGAATTTGAATATGAGTAGATAAAGAATCATCTCCATGAAGGTGCCAGTAGGAGGACATATCTGGTAAGAAAAGTCTGTGAAAGGAGCTTCAAAATTTTGTTACACAAATGACAAAAAAAAAAAAAGTTTGTTTTAGATTGAAATCACTTATTGATTATTCACAAAAACATGAGCAAATTTACATTTTTTTGGACAGAGGAATAACCTTGAATAACTGCTGTTATTTTTATAGAGAAGTTAGACTCCTTTTACTTTTCTTGTGATTCTGTATAATGTTAGAGAGTATGATTTTTTTTCAACTGTGAAGCTGCGCTCTGGTGGAAGGTGTGATAAGTTAGAGGTAATTTCTCTTTGGACTATTACTGATGGGATCATTACAGTTATTTCCCATGAGACTACAACAATAAGATAATAGGTTAATAGGTTTTCAAAGGACTTCTGTCTTTAATGAATCCAGTCCTTTATTACTGAAATAGAAAGTAAGAAAAAATTAAAATTTCCCAGGGAAATTTTCCAGCATTCTGTAAGTTATTTCTGTTAAAGACCAGTTGATGTCATAAATTTGTCCCTTTCACATATCCTACAATGAAGTTAAAATTGAGGTTGAGAATAATCTTTTATTTTTCATTAGTCAACCCAACAATGATTATATGCTTCTCAGAAACAAAAACTTCACTTTGGTGCAGATCATCATGAACAGTCACTTAATTTTTAGAAATCTTTGAGTAGCAGGTTTTTAGTTATTGTTCTATGATTGGGTCAAGGCTGAATTGGAAAACAATAGGAAATTTGGAGAATTGTGAAATGCGTGTCCCAAACTTTGCTTTTTCTTTAAGAATTCATTTTATGTAGAAGTATTTTTTTTACTCACATTATCTGTGTAATTACCTTGATTTCTTTCACTTCACTATCACCTAACTTATAAGTGGGTTCTCTACTGTTAAAAATGGCAATGTTAGCAAAATACTGTATCCCAGGTGGGTTCATGTTACTTTCTGCTATTTTAAGCTTAGTACTATGTCAAATAACAGATAATTAATAAACAATTTGTAATGGTGAAGTTGGTGATTAGTTGGAAGGACAATAATAACATTTGTCTCCAAAAAAATAAGAATATTTACTTTACTAAATTATTGCACTTATGCTTTCCAGATGAAGGCTGGGGTGAGTGGTCATCCTCATACCTACCCCAATTCTTCATAGTTCCAAGAAGAATAAATGTAATGCTTTATATGAGAAAAGTTATTGAACTCCTAGCTTAGAACTGCTAGGATAAATCTTACATTCCAAGACTATTTTTCTACAAATTTTACCCATGAATGAATGCAGATGCCACCCATCATATAAAAAATGTCATGGTATAATTTGATCACAAAATCACTAGCTAACAGACCCTTAATTAAACCTGGGCATTCTTGCCTGAGCTATTCTGTGTCTTTTGCCATGGAGAGCCCACACTGGAAGTGTAGGAAAGGTTCAAACATGCAGATTTTTGTTTTGGTAAGAAATACTTAAGATTACACAGAGAGTGAGTGATGGTATGAGGATAAAATCCCAGGTCTTTTACTTACTGTCTACTTGCCTTGTGGAGAGGCCAATGTTCTTCCAATTTCTGTACTGGAAAGCCAATACCCTTGAACTTCATCTGTCTATTTTGTGACCATTCTCAACCCAATGTCCAGCAAGCTAGTATCCACAGAAAACACACATAGATCATTTGGAATTCTTAGATATGTTCTTTTACTTTTCATCTTAAGTGATTCTGTAAACATTTATTTTCTAGAATGATCTATATCCTTTTATGTAGAGTCAGATTCTCCTCACATCACCTTGGGTCAAGAATGTCTAATTCCTTATCTTTGCTGATGAAATCTGCACAAGGAGAATTCTATGTTTATTGATCTTTCTGTTATTTAACTTCTTAAAATCTATTAGGGTAGAAATTACAAATGTTCAAACTTAATATCTTAAACTTTCTTTTCTTTAGAGCCCTAGAAGAGTCATAGAACCCTGAAAGTTATTCTGTGGTCTACTTGAATCTGATGAGGAGGAAAGCAGGAGAAAAGGGGTCATTCTCCAAGAGATCTGAAAGAGCAAAAGAGGTGGGAGTAAAAGGCCTAAAAATGTCAAGACTTTCTCCTGCCATCTAAGTTACCCAGTGCTTGTGCGAGTTCCAAGAGGAAATCATTTTACCTCTCAGGTCTGTTGTAGGACTTGATTTTGTAAAGCAGTGCAGTGTTGTACTGTTGAAAGGATACTGGACTTAGAAACACGGGCCACCACTTAGAGGCTGACTTTGCCTGAGACTGGTGGCAACCCTGTGTTAATCACTATTCAATGAGCTTCCACATTTGCACCCAGAAAATTAATAAGTAAGGCCAGATAACTGACCATTCTGCTCTAAACAATTATGTAATTCCGGGAAAGGGGGAATAAAGGGAAAAGATGTGAAAAAGAGAGAAGAAAGAAGTCAAGAAGACTAAGGACCAAAGAACTTCACCGAGATTACCATTTGCTTTCCTGTGGATGTTCCATCTTTTCTTCCCCTAATCTTAGGTCTGTTAGTCTGTTTCCTCATCACTTGGAGTCTAGTCTACTACCTGCTTACTGCTTTGCTAATAGCTGTTATCTCTAGAACCCTTGGTTTCTCCGCTATTCTTCATGTACCTCTGTGACATTTACCACAATGAAAATGGGACTGAATTTATTGTGAAATAACATTGGCAACTTTCACTTTACTTACCTATTTTTATAGCAGAATAAATATTGCTAGTCTTAGATAGCAGTTCACATTTTTTAAAAAAGCATGCATTGCTTATTTATCGCATAATATGACCTGGCCCCATTTTAGTCATTCTGAATTCAGACTAGTATAATGAAAATATATTATGAAAACAGGCATTTTGGAGGTTCAAGTGCTTTGACTCTCCTGGCTTCTTTCCCCGTGAGTTCACTTTTCACAGTAGCAGAGGAAGCAAGTATGGGTATACAATTCCTTTTGTTCTAAATATATCGATTTAATTAGTGGAACAATTTTTGAACTTTTAAATATCATAAAACCCATTAGTGACTTTTTCAGTATCTTTTGCTTCTTTGTCTGTATCCCGTGTGACCTTGGAACTAAAACTTAAGTTGTTTTCATTGTTGAATTGGATATTTATATATTTAGTAAGCTTTTCGGATGTTATTTAATTCTGTATTGTTTCTTATATTTGTATTAAGATGCCAAATAATTAAAAGTTTCAACTCTAAATATTTTGTTCATGATATTCTCTCAGGAAATATGGGAAATGTGAGCCTTAATGAGAATCCTTGTATTTTCCCACTCTGTGTGAAACTTTCCTCTCTCATTTGTCACCCTTAAAAAATGCCATTGACAGTTCTGATTAATCACAGAGTCACGAATCAGATGTCCCTGATCTGGCCAGTGGGGGCTCCTTCAAGTTGGTGCCTGTGTCCTTTTAATATGACCTGGTTAATTTCGCAGTACACACATGCTCTTTTGATTTTGCTTTTAGATATCAACCTTTGTAAACTGATTACCTCACACAGTTTTGAATTTAATAGGAATTACCACCCTGCTTCTGTTTTTGCTCTATTTCTGGTGTCTTGCCTGCCAGATCAGGCAGGATAACTTAAAGCAGCAGTTCTAAAATATTTAGGTTCAAGACCCTTTTACATGCTTACCAACATTATTGAGGATTCCAAAGAGTTTTTTTATAAAGTGAATTAAGTCTGTTGATATTTATCATATCTGAAATTAAGGTTGATAAATACACACGTGCACACACACACACACACACACACACACACACACACACACAACAAACACACAAGCATGCATTCTATTAGCCATCAGAGTGATGTCAACATCACACATCATGTAGCTTCTGGAAAACTCCACAGCACACTTGTGAAAGAGTGAGAGTGAAAAAGGCAAATAATGTGTTGGTGTGACTGTGACAATAATTTTGACTTTATGGACCCTCCTGAAATGGGCTCAGAGACAATACTGAAGACTACTCACTTGAAGTATAGGCAAATAAGGAGACCACCTTATAAGATTCCATGAGTCTTTCTCAAAGGAAGAACTTACTAAACAGCTATCTTCACAGAACTTAAGCACTCTACCATTCCACTGTAACTTTAGTTAGGTCATCACCATTCTGGAAGTTCCTTTCAAAGTTCAGAGAGCTGTAGGGCTAATCCTTCTTCATCACTAATAATTTTATTTAAATTGACTTATTAAATGGGTTATCAGTTACCTTGCAAGCTATTGAGAAACTTAGAATATAGGTAGGTTTTGATGGACAAGTCTTGGGAGGGTCATAAGAAATGAAGAGAGGAGGAGGAAAGAGTAACTCAGAGCAGGTGGCTCTGTCTGCGAAGGCAGATCTAAACCTTGTTGTGCACAAGTCTTGCCCTGTGACTCTTGTTTTCTCACCCCTGGAAGGAGCACACCAATTCCCCCATACTGACCCTGTAGTGCTTTTTCTGAATTTGTGAATTGGAAAAGGGCAGCTTGGGCTTTGCACATTTAAGCCAGATTGGGAAAGTTGTAAACATTTGAGTCACTTAGAATAACTCAATCATATAATTGTTTTGTTTTGTAAAATTTTAGAAAAATTCCAGGGTGATGGTAAACCCGCTAAGGGACAGGGGAAAGGAGGGTAAAAAAAAAACATGCCTTTTGTGCTTAAATAAAACTAAAACTGAAGGCAGAATTTAGAATGAGGTGGGGGTAGGAATTTATTAATCATCAATCAGGTAACATTTTATAAACAGGTTCAAAGAATACAAAATCTACACTATGACTAAGGTTCATAGGCTTTGGTTAAAACAGTTTTCTTGGACTAACTTTCTTCTATTATTCTTAGGCCATCAAGAAAGATATTTTACTTTTTAAAAATAAAACCTCCTAAGCTAATTCCTCTCAGCTGTATTTTTTTTTCTAAATATTTGCTCTCAAAACATTCCATATTTGACCTCAGTCTCTCTACCACAGTTACACAGAGCTATGATTCAATTCTAAGCAAGCCAAGTTTTGTACAGGAATTACATTCATTTGAGCCTTCTGAGATAAGGAATGTATTTAAGCTTATACCCTAGGTGTAAAAACTGAGGCTTTTTAGTGACTTTTCTCAGGAAACACTGCGAATGTGAGATGGAGCTGAAATTCCAACTCAGAACCTCAGACTTCTTGTCCAGTGCCCTCTCTGTCCCCTCCATTCATACTGTGGTTCATCTCACATCCTACTTGTCAATATAAATGATTTACTCTATCAATATACTCTGAATCCACCTCCTACCCCCAATCCTATCACCTGGTCCAAACTATCATTATCTTTCTCCTAGATTGTTCCCATAGCTTTCTAATTAATTTCCTTGCTTCTGCTTTCTCCCTCTTTTAATCTATTCTTATAACTGTTTTAAAATATAAGTTAGACAAATCATATCATTCTTTTGCACAAAATATCCCAGAGCTTCCCATCTTATTTAGAAACCAAAGTCTTTACGTGGACTCTCAGGCTCTACATAATTAGATTCTCTGATACTCTCGGAAATCATCTCATACTGCTTTTTTCTTGATCTTGTCCTGTCAGCTACACCAGCCTCCTTGCTATCTCACCAACATTCAGGCATGCTTCCATCATAGGACTTTGGTGCTTACTCTTCTCTCTGCCTAGAATGTTCTTCCTGAAGATAGCCACATATGCCCTATCCCCAGCAAACATTCTCTATCTCCCTATTCTGCTTCATTTTCCTCCACTGCACCCAAAACCATCTAGCATGCAATATGCTTTACTTGTTATTTTGTTTATTATATGTCTCCTGTTAAATTGTAAGCTTCATGAGAGCAGAGGTTTTTTATCTGTTCGCTTGCTTTCTTACCTTCCCTGAGAACCTAGTACAAGTGGTCAATACATATTTCTTGGATAAATTGATTTTACGCTAATACATTATGGGAAAGAGGAAGTAGTTCAAACAGCTTTGTACTGTAACATGTCTCCAGCCCTATGGGAGAGTGTGATTGAACTAGAGAATGAAAAGGACTTTTAGAAATTGATGGTCCTGAACATGAGGCATGGAGACTAGGATAATGAATTTAGAGCCAAAAGAATGGGGTTTAAGTTTCATTCCTGGTAGTAATGTGTTATCTTGGGCCAGTGATTTTATCACTCTGAATTTTTATTTCCTCAATTACAAATCGAGTGTTCCCCAAGTCTGTCTTACTGAGTAGCTGTAAGGCTCAAATGAGAAGGGGATATATCTCCCAGCATGTGCAAGTTTATGTACTGAGGCATGTCTGCCCTGTGACCTCAAAATTCCCACCGAAATAGCACAGGCCTTGTGTCCTCAGTTGCTTTCTAATTCTCATTCCCACAGTCAGCCCAACCCTTCTTCAGAAATGGTTGTAGATTTGAAGAGGAGATAGGACTGTTGACAGTAGAAGCTGCCTCTGGTCTGAGCAGAGAGAAAATCTGCTGGGTTTTGTTTTGACAGAAGCAGACACCCCACTACCCCATCCAGGATGATTCGGCCTTTCCTTGTGTTGAAGATAAGACAAAAGGATAACACAAAAGTTCTTGCTATTTAGCATTTGGCTTTCTGAATACAGTTTTGCCATCTTTCTCTAGAGTATTAACAGCCATGACCTGCTGTCAGAGATGGAAAAGAGCCCTCAAAAACACTTAAAGAGAATGCCAAAATTGATATCCCTGACTTCTCTCTCTAAAGTTATGTGGCTTTATCCTATCTGATTAATATGTCATGATAGAAGGACCTTTCAAGAAGAACTTGAAAGGCTCCAGAGAATAGATATTTTAATACTTTTAACCAAAATCTTATTAGCCTAGATAGCAGAAAATTCAACTCAAAGAGTTGGAACTCAAAAAGAGTGTTATGTTTTTCTGGAAGTAGCTTTCACTTTTTAGTCCAACAGCAGAAAGGTACTGAAGTCCAGCTGCCAGATGATACACTTCAAATGCCACATAATTCTGTATCAGGTGTTTAGTCTGCATCTAGTTATTTCCTTAACTTGTACACACATTGGTTTCCCTTCTTGTAAATCAAAGACAATATTTTAAATGTCTCACGTAAAAATAAATCATAGCTTTAATTACATTCTTTTAAATAATGTGTTAATTAATAGGCTAGATGGTTCTTAGGTAAGAAATATCAGGAAGCACTAAAATTTCAGTGATAGTGAGCAAGCAGTCATCGGAAGCACTTTGATTCTATTGTGCACCTTCAGGGGTGAGGAGGACTGGACTAGCCTAAAAATATTCTAGAATTTTATTCCCCCTTTCTATTTGTCCCAGTGGGTTTCTAAGAGGCCAAGCCAGTTCTGCAGCTGCCTAGACATGGTTGGAAACCCCTTGGGTAAAGGAGATGTTTCTTTCTACTTCATCTTACAGACAACTTTAATTTACAAATACCTTGGAATGAGAGAATGTATTCTTTGAGGGAACGCCGGGCCTATTAATTTGTGTTTGATTTGACTGAGTTCTATTACCAACATGTCATGAGAAGTCACCATCTTGTATAAACAAAGGTTAGCTATAGCTTGAGACCTAGTGTCTCAAGAGTTGACTGACATATATGCTCCAGGATAAGCTGAAACTTCCTGATGTATGCCAACAGGCATATGGCATCATGTGAATCTCTGTTGAAAAGACTGGGTAAGAATCATAGAAAATCAAAGATAAAAGGGATTTCAGAGATAAGGAAACTGAGGCCTAGAAATTTTAAGTGACTCACTGAAATCACACAAGCCTCACTCCTGTACCAGGTTGGGTGAGAGAACCACACAGCAGAAATTTCCAATATATCTACAAAGACTTTTATGTGGCCTGACAGGATATGGTTAGGGGCACATTTAAAAATAGTTTCAGGACCTCAGCACTAACTGGAACCTAAAACTTTCCCAAACTGTTTTCCTCTATATGAGGTTCAAAGATATTTCCGTCACTAGTTTTTGACATACCTCCAGCTTCCTTGGCAGCAAACAGGTAAACATCAGGTTTGACAGACAATATGTCAGCTGACAATATGACAGCTCTGATCTTATGCTTCAATGATGGAGAATTCTTTCCTTTGGCTAGAGTAATTTTTATGGTTTTCAGCAAAAAAAAAAAAAAAATTTCCATGTATCTGGATGAGAGAGAATACGTTCTTGAGTGAGGAGGGGAAAGTTTCCAGGTATATCAGGTTAACAATGAAAACAAAACAAAACAAAACAAATAAAAACCA